CGTAATTGCTCGCAACGCATATCTACTGCCACAAGTGTCTGCAACACTTGACAAACTCCGCGGTGCTCGATATTTTTCCATCCTTGATTTAAAGAACGAGGCAAATTTATTGGCAAATACCGCTCATGCCCGAAAGTCGAGAGATCATCGCATTTATTGTACTGGGTCGAGGACTTATGCAGTTTCGCGTAATATCGTTTGAGTGACATTCTGCACCCAATGTTTCAACGATTGCTAGATTCTCGGACCAGAGCTAGAATCGCATGCTTTCATTTACTTAGACGACATTATCGTCGCTACACGAACGTTCGACGAACATGTCAAAGTGCTGTCCGACATATTCCGCCGACTACGCGACGCACGGCTACGAATCAACCCCGAGAAATGCCGATTTTGCACCGAAATTATTATAAATATCTCGGCCATATTGTTGATCGCAATGGATTCCGTACCGACCTCGAAAAAACAAGCGCAATCCACAATTGACCGATTCCGACTACTGTTAAACACATCTGGCAATTCTTGGGGATGGCGTCGTGGTATCGCCGATTTATAAAAGATTTTGCGATCGTAGTTGCCCCGCTGACCATTCTTACGCGAAAAAACGCACGCTGGGCAGCGCAAAAGTGAACAAAGCATTTGCCGCGTTAAAACTGTAACTGACATCCGACCGGTACTTGCGTGCCCAGATTTCAACCGACAATTTTCATTGCAGACCGACGCCAGCACGCACGATTTCGGTGCCATGCTTACGCAAAACTTTCCCGAGAGCGAGCGCGTTATTACCTATGCGAGCCGCACCTTAAACGGAGCACAATTATAGCGCGACCGAACTCGAATGCTTGGCTGTGGGGCATCCGATGAATGCGCGGGTACCTCGAAGGGTACCACTTCACCGTTGTAACTAATCACCGGGCTTTCCGATGGCTGTAGAAATTAGAATCACCTACTGATTAGGACGATTAGGACGATGGTTGCTGGAACTGCAATACAACTTCGAAATTAAATACTGAAGGGAGGTTGAACAAAGTCGCCGATGCCCTCTCGCGCCAGCCCGAGCTCGCCGCCGTAACACAACTGACCTGCTATTGGTACCGCCAAATGGAAACAGAATAGAATCCGCGCCGTACACCGCACCCGATTATACTATACGCGAAAATAAATTATATCGGCACATAGTCTGAACTTTCGCGAAACACCCGCCGAACAATGGAAAGTCTGCGTGTCTTCCGACGCGTTGAAATTATAAGGCAATATTACGACGCTCCGACTGCCAGTCATCTGGGCATCACAAAAACGATAGCGCGAATTTCCGAATTATATTATTAGCCAGGAATGCGCGCGTGTAAAAACTGTATTGTGCACAAATCCGAGCAACAGCGATCGTCCGGATTGCCAGGATCGTTTTACGTCACCGACCATTAATCTGATAGGGCCGTTACCCCGATCAAGCAATAGTCACACGTGACTTTTTAATATGCAGAATCGTTTTATTAGATGTACAAAAAAGTTCTGAGCTTTAAATTTCATACAACCGAAATAACAATTAAAATTTTATATATCTTCCCGCCCTTTTGCGGTTTTAAAGCGTTGACATTTGGCCTTCTAAAATGCCATACGGTTTGGCGTTTGATGCAGATAACCTCAAAAATCAGTAGTGTTCACGATGGCAATAACAAAAGAGCATATTCGATTTTCCATCCACTTCGCGTTTCATCTGAAGAAAAATCCTGCTGAAGCCACTGCAATGATTTGTGCTGTATATGGAGAGAACGCTGTAAGTCATACTACATGTAAAGATGGTATCAAAAATTTTGCCAAGGAGATTTCAATCTTGAAGATGAACCGCATGCTGGACGCCCTCAAAAGATTGAAACGGACGAATTGCAAGCACTGCTGGATATAAACTTTGCGCAAACTGAAAAGGAGTTTGCAGAACAGCTTGACGTTACGCAGCAAACCATTTCCGTACGTTTACATACGATGGGAAAGGTTCAGAAGGAAGGCAGATGGGTTCCGCATGAATTGTCCGAAGACAACAAAAATCGTCGGTGTGACACTGCATTCACTTTGCTTTCAAAGTTCCGGAAAAAAGATTTTCTGCACAAAATCATTACAAGCGATGAAAAGTGGATTCTTTATGATAACCCTAAACATAGAAAATCATGGGTTGACCCTGGTCAACCCTCGACATCGATGCCAAAGCCCAATATCCATGTCAAAAAGGTTTTGCTCTGTATCTGGTGGGATTAGAAAGGTGTGTTGTATTACGAGTTGTTACAACCGGGTGAAACAATCACGGCAGACCGCTACCAACAACAATTGACCAATTTGAGCGATGCATTAGAAGAAAAGATGCCATTTACTGGCCAAGAACGTCATAAAGTGATCTTGCTTCATGACAATGCTCGACCACATGTTGCGAAAGCGACTCAGGACCATATCTTTGCGTTAGGCAGGAATTTCTCCCGCACGCGGCGTATAGCCCAGACATGGCGCCTTCCGATTACTACCTATTCCGGTCGCTGCAGCATCATTTGGCTGATACACATTTCGTGAGAATTTGAAGAGATACGAAAATGCATTGATGACTTTATCGCTTTGAAGCCGATGAGCTTCTATCATCAAGGAATTCGCAAGCTACCCGAAAGATGGGTCGTTGATGCAAACGGGGAATATTTCGCTGATTAATATTTTTTGTTTATTTTTATAATAAAGATTGAATTTTACAAAAAAAGCTTAGAACTTTTTGTACACCTAATATATAGTGTTTTAAATATTGATAAAAAATTTTGAACAATTTACAAATAAAGCTTAATTTTTGTTGTACATTTTTTATGTAAACATAGATTTTACAATCTTAACATACACATATATTCACACACGTATGCGTTTATGCATTTCATATATTTCCACATATATGCTATACTGGATTGCTAAAAACAAAATTCACGAATTTTAATTTTAAACCTACGTACTTTTATATCTTGCATTGTATCCTTTTATAGCTATTTAAGAAAATTTATCGCATTATTTCATGAAATACTTGAAAATTTTGTGAATTTCGAAGCTGCCATTTTAACTTCATATTAATAAATTTTGCCATTTTAATTATAAATTCGAAATCTTTGAGCTTAAAAATCTCTAAAAAGCGATTTTTGAACAATTTTAATATTTATAAAAGAAAACGATTATTTTCAGACGTCATCGACACTCAAAGCCTTCTTATGACGTCAATTATTATTAATAAGAGATGAAAATCCAGCTTTCACATTAATTATTCACTAAATAATTACGATTTTGAGCCAAAATTAAACAAGACAACGTGATTTTCTAATTTTTTTAAGCAATATACATTAAAATGAGAATAATTTTAATAAAATTTGCAATCAATGTAAAAAATAATTTTAAAAATATACCGAATTGCTGTGATAATAGATAAGAATGTTTAAAATTATATTTAACAAGAACAAAACCAAACTTTTAGTTCTAAAATATATAATCATTTATTAATTGTCAAAGTAACAAAAAAATAGTTCCCTGTATATTTTACAAGTATGTTTTATTTATGGCAAATATTATTTTATTAAATATTTCTGTAAAAATTTTCATTATGTATTTTTTCATTTCTATGTCCCATTATCAATTCAGGCATAATGAATTAGCAGAAGTTATAATATTGACAGGTATTTATTATTTTTTTTTTTAGTTAAAAAAATTTTTTCTTCTTATCCATCAATTTTTTATATAACTCATATATTTATTTTATATTCTATAATTATAAAAAGTAGAAAATAGATAAAAAATATTTTTGTATTTATTTTTCATTTTTTTTTAAATATATACATCTTGTATACTCTATTAATTGTGCGCACTTACTTAGCTTTAAAACCCTGTGCCTGCAATTCTCCACTACTAAAGACCATCACGAGTCTTGGCCCATCACTAACTATATGGCTGGGATTGCTCTTGTTTCCACACATTTCGTAATCGAATTTATCGTAAGAATCTGTTGCTTCCTGACCTTTTAAATATAATTTTAGATAACCGTCAGTGCATGTCGTCCTAAAAAAATCCAAAATAATGCAATACACAATTATGTCCACACATCTATTGGCATTTATAAGGGAACACAACCAAGTGTTCTCCCCCACCTCCGATTTTAATGAACTTCGAATATATTAAAATATAGATAAAAATAAGAAACACGTATTTTTTTATAAGTGCTGAGCTGCATGTGTCATTTTTTTAAGGAGGTGAAACTCCCCTTTAAAAAAAATCGGTTTTTTTCTTTCAAAGCGAATATCGTCAAAATTACAAATAGAAAAAAAAGTTTTATACAAAAGTTAAATCGTTTCAAAAGTACTTTATAAAGAAAATAAAAAAGTATTTTTTTTAACTTTTTTTAAGTTTCCCTCACCACTCCATATCTATATCTTTAATTTTGAAATTTTTTAATGATTAAATTAATGATTACTTTTATACAAATTCAACCATATATGATAAACTTATTTTCCGAAATATCATTTTTGAAAAATAATTATAAATCCCTACGTTTACATGCTATCCGTACCCGTCCATGCGCTCGATTCTTCGCGTTGAACGAATTTCAATCGTCTCATACGCACTGATTACGCGAGCGAGCAAATCAATACAGTACATTGAATATTAAATAAGAGTTTTATAATAATAATAATAATAATAGTAATAATAATAATATTAAAAGTAATAATAAAATAGCAGTGAATTTATTAAACCGTTAAAATCAGTCAACTATTTTGACGATATGTTAACGTATATACTGAATATTTTGGACACTTGAAGACAAATTATTATATGATTAAAAAAAATAAATTATTATATTTACATCGTTACATCGTTTATTTAACTTTGACTATAGAGCAGCTAATTGCAATGATCAATGTATTTTATTGGCCAAGGTATATTTGTGTCCCATAATGGTCACAACACTACAAAGCAATTTACTGACAGTTTCGTGTATTATTGAAGACTTATGAGACACAAGTGTACTTTGTATATAATTTCTTTCTACTAATCAAAATGCTATGCAGAAAATAGATTTAATATTTTTAGCACTGAAACGTGCATTTAATATTGACAGTAAAGGCAGGAACGCAGCTATTATTGATATAAAAAAGTGTAGATTATTATAGCAAAT